CTGTATATTTGTACTGTGAAAAACGTGGATGCTCACGAGCTGTGCTGTTCGGCGCCGTATCAACCAGACTGCCCGCCAGCAAATCTGACAACTCGTCGACGCCTTCCATTTTTTTTTCTGAAAACACTATGAATTTAGATGTCGCATGTTAGTGAGTGGTACCCGTACGATCTTCGACGAAGTGGCACATACATCGAACGGGCGACAGGTACTAACTCAAGGTATGCAGCTCAGGATCGGCAACCTTGTCAGTGGCTATACACAATGTGAGCACCCGAATACCATTAGCATGGGATACCTACACCGATAGTACTGGCGGCCTTGGTATTCTTCGAATTATAAATTAAACCAGTTTCACCTAAATGTCAGTCACGTAAACCTTCGCGCCATCGTGGCTACCTCACGTGAATTGTGGGCACCTCACGCCATAGCAGCCATACTTCAGTGTAGACTCACATCACGGGTATTCATTCACAATTCACGCCAGATCCTTATCTCCCTCAACTAAATCTTTTCCACAAAAAAGTTTTTAAAAAAGAGGGGGGGGGGATATCTCATAACTTCACTTACTGCACAAAGCCGAAATTTTTCTTATGCGTGAGGCTTTACCGCACCAGCCTTCTAATTCAGCCAATCATTGACACATGCAAAATCGAAACTCGGCTTACTTGTAACAGATAATCATTGGCGTTCAAATATACCTTTCAATATGATTAGAAAAAAAAATCGACTTTGATAAAATTTATACGAGCATGGCAATTTTTAACAAATTAACAAAGAAACCATACCCGCACTTAACAAATAACATTTTGCATCTCTAGAAACAAAAAATAACCAAACAGGCTTCAGGTTACTGAAAATAACAATAATAACAAGAAAGCAACAACTGTTATCCTCCATTTTCCTGATTATTTTCATCGCTAGAGGTAGAGCAGTTCCTGCGAACATCCCGGACAATTCCATGACCGAGGACTGCAAAGTCTTCCAGAACTGCTTCTACGTTCACTGTGAGCAAATTGTCCGCTCCTTTTGTACGATGCAAACAACCCGAAATCTAGAAAAAATAATACCTTAAACACTCAAGAAAAAAAGACGCAATTAAGAACTCATGTAAACTTTATAGCACTTTTAAATAATCGATTTTAAATCAATTAAAATTTCAACACAATTCAATTCCCCCTTCATTTGACTGAAGGAACTATCGAATATATCAAAAGCGAAAAGAAACGCGACAGTGAAACAACTTTTACCCAAAGTAACAAAGCAAAGCATATTTCGATGCAGCAATAGAAAGGTGTATCAACAAGGGATGAAATAAGAAGAATCAAAAAGGAAGATAGGAAATGAAAATCAGAAAATTAGTAAAATTATTATAAAACATTTAAAAATTCAGAATAGCAATAAAACATTACGAAATGAAATTAAAATACCTTAGAATCACGTGGTGTGAGCGCTGCTGGTTTCCAAACAACACCAATCATATCACCGGCATATTTATTGTAGAAAAATAATGCAATT